TAAATTGCATTTAAAAACATATCTAGGTATTATAAATGATAAAGAATGCTAATATAGATATAAAATCGATAATTTTTTTGAAAAAAGCCTACTATGATCGAAACCAAAAATGCTTTAAATTTCATTTTAAAACATATCTAGGCATTATAAATGATAAAGAATGCTAATATAGATATAAAATCGATAGTTTTTTTTGAAAATAGCCTACTATGATCGAAACCAAAAATGCTTTAAATTGCATTTTAAAACATATCTAGGCATTATAAATGATAAAGAATGCTAATATAGATATAAAATCGATATTTTTTTTGAAAAAAGCCTACTATGATCGAAACCAAAAATGCTTTAAATTGCATTTTAAAACATATCTAGGCATCATAAATGATAAAGAATGCTAATATAGATATAAAATCGATATTTTTTTTGAAAATAGCCTACTATGATCAAAACCAAAAATGCTTTAAATTGCATTTTAAAACATATCTAGGCATTATAAATGATAAAGAATGCTAATATAGATATAAAATCGATATTTTTTTTGAAAAAAGCCTACTATGATCGAAACCAAAAATGCTTTAAATTGCATTTTAAAACATATCTAGGCATCATAAATGATAAAGAATGCTAATATAGATATAAAATCGATAGTTTTTTTTGAAAATAGCCTACTATGATCGAAACCAAAAATGTTTTAAATTTCATTTTAAAACATATCTAGGCATTATAAATGATAAAGAATGCTAATATAGATATAAAATCGATATTTTTTTTGAAAATATCCTACTATAATCGAAACCAAAAATGCTTTAAATTGCATTTTAAAACATATCTAGGCATTATAAATGATAAAGAATGCTAATAAAGATATAAAATCGTTAATTTTTTTTGAAAATAGCCTACTATGATCGAAACCAAAAATACCTTAAATTGCATTTTAAAACATATCTAGGTATTATAAATGATAAAGAATGCTAATATAGATATAAAATCGATAGTTTTTTTTGAAAATAGCCTACTATGATCGAAACCAAAAATGCTTTAAATTGCATTTTAAAACATATCTAGGCATTATAAATGATAAAGAATGCTAATATAGATATAAAATCGATATTTTTTTTGAAAAAAGCCTACTATGATCGAAACCAAAAATGCTTTAAATTGCATTTTAAAACATATCTAGGCATCATAAATGATAAAGAATGCTAATATAGATATAAAATCGATATTTTTTTTGAAAATAGCCTACTATGATCGAAACCAAAAATGCTTTAAATTGCATTTTAAAACATATCTAGGCATTATAAATGATAAAGAATGCTAATATAGATATAAAATCGATATTTTTTTTGAAAAAAACCTACTATGATCGAAACCAAAAATGCTTTAAATTGCATTTTAAAACATATCTAGGCATCATAAATGATAAAGAATGCTAATATAGATATAAAATCGATAGTTTTTTTTGAAAATAGCCTACTATGATCGAAACCAAAAATGTTTTAAATTGCATTTTTAAAACATATCTAGGCATTATAAATGATAAAGAATGCTAATATAGATATAAAATCGATATTTTTTTTGAAAAAAGCCTACTATGATCGAAACCAAAAATGCTTTAAATTGCATTTTAAAACATATCTAGGCATCATAAATGATAAAGAATGCTAATATAGATATAAAATCGATATTTTTTTTGAAAATAGCCTACTATGATCGAAACCAAAAATGCTTTAAATTGCATTTAAAAACATATCTAGGTATTATAAATGATAAAGAATGCTAATATAGATATAAAATCGATAATTTTTTTGAAAAAAGCCTACTATGATCGAAACCAAAAATGCTTTAAATTGCATTTTAAAACATATCTAGGTATTATAAATGATAAAGAATGCTAATATAGATATAAAATCGATAATTTTTTTTGAAAATAGCCTACTATGATCGAAACCAAAAATGCTTTAAATTGCATTTAAAAACATATCTAGGTATTATAAATGATAAAGAATGCTAATATAGATATAAAATCGATAATTTTTTTGGAAAAAGCCTACTATGATCGAAACCAAAAATGCTTTAAATTGCATTTTAAAACATATCTAGGCATTATAAAAGATAAAGAATGCTAATATAGATATAAAATCGATAATTTTTTTTGAAAATAGCCTACTATGATCGAAACCAAAAATGCTTTAAATTGCATTTTAAAACATATCTAGGCATTATAAATGATAAAGAATGCTAATATAGATATAAAATCGATATTTTTTTTGGAAAAAGCCTACTATGATCGAAACCAAAAATGCTTTAAATTGCATTTTAAAACATATCTAGGCATTATAAAAGATAAAGAATGCTAATATAGATATAAAATCGATAATTTTTTTTGAAAATAGCCTAATATGATCGAAATCAAAAATGCTTTAAATTGCATTTTAAAACATATCTAGGCATTATAAATGATAAAGAATGCTAATATAGATATAAAATCGATAATTTTTTTTGAAAATAGCCTACTATGATCGAAACCAAAAATGCTTTAAATTGCATTTTAAAACATATCTAGGCATTATAAATGATAAAGAATGCTAATATAGATATAAAATCGATAATTTTTTTTGAAAATAGCCTACTATGATCGAAACCAAAAATGCTTTAAATTGCATTTTAAAACATATCTAGGCATTATAAATGATAAAGAATGCTAATATAGATATAAAATCGATATTTTTTTTGAAAATAGCCTACTATGATCGAAACCAAAAATGCTTTAAATTGCATTTTAAAACATATCTAGGCATTATAAATGATAAAGAATGCTAATATAGATATAAAATCGTTAATTTTTTTTGAAAATAGCCTACTATGATCGAAACCAAAAATGCCTTAAATTGCATTTCAAAACATATCTAGGTATTATAAATGATAAAGAATGCTAATATAGATATAAAATCGATAAATTTTTTTGAAATTAGCCTACTATGATCGAAACCAAAAATGCTTTAAATTGCATTTTAAAACATATTTAGGCATTATAAATAATAAAGAATGCTAATATAGATATAAAATCGTTAATTTTTTTTCAAAATAGGCTACTATGATCGAAACCAAAAATGCTTTAAATTGCATTTTAAAACATATCTAGGTATTATAAATGATAAAGAATGCTAATATAGATATAAAATCGATAATTTTTTTTGAAAAAAGCCTACTATGATCAAAACCAAAAATGCTTTAAATTGCATTTTAAAACATATCTAGGTATTATAAATGATAAAGAATGCTAATATAGATATAAAATCGATAATTTTTTTTGAAAATAGCCTACTATGATCGATAGCAAAAATGCCTTAAATTACATTTTAAAACATATCTAGGTATTATAAATGATAAAGAATGCTAATATAGATATAAAATCGATAACTTTTTTTGAAAATAGCCTACTATGATCGAAACCAAAAATGCTTTAAATTGCATTTTAAAACATATCTAGGCATTATAAAAGATAAAGAATGCTAATATAGATATAAAATGGATAATTTTTTTTGAAAAAAGCCTACTATGATCGAAACCAAAAATGCTTTAAATTGCATTTTAAAACATATCTAGGCATTATAAATGATAAAGAATGCTAATATAGATATAAAATCGATAATTTTTTTGGAAAAAGCCTACTATGATCGAAACCAAAAATGCTTTAAATTGCATTTTAAAACATATCTAGGTATTATAAAAGATAAAGAATGCTAATATAGATATAAAATCGATAATTTTTTTTGAAAATAGCCTACTATGATCGATAGCAAAAATGCCTTAAATTACATTTTAAAACATATCTAGGTATTATAAATGATAAAGAATGCTAATATAGATATAAAATCGATAACTTTTTTTGAAAATAGCCTAATATGATCGAAATCAAAAATGCTTTAAATTGCATTTTATAACATATCTAGGCATTATAAATGATAAAGAATGCTAATATAGATATAAAATCGATAATTTTTTTTTTTGAAAATAGCCTACTATGATCGAAACCAAAAATGCTTTAAATTGCATTTTAAAACATATTTAGGCATTATAAATGATAAAGAATGCTAATATAGATATAAAATCGATAGTTTTTTTTGAAAATAGCCTACTATGATCGAAACCAAAAATGCTTTAAATTGCATTTTAAAACATATCTAGGCATTATAAATGATAAAGAATGCTAATATAGATATAAAATCGTTAATTTTTTTTGAAAATAGCCTACTATGATCGAAACCAAAAATGCTTTAAATTGCATTTTAAAACATATCTAGGCATTATAAATGATAAAGAATGCTAATATAGATATAAAAAAAACTTTTTAAAAAACACGCTTTTATCAAAAAGATTAAAAACCAAAAACTTGAAAATAAAATAAGATCACACTTTTAGCGAATCAGGATTTTAAAAGTTTTCTTGTGACATCTAGAAATGTAACATAATTTTTTTCAAAATATTGTGATTAAGTCCAAGAACACAATGACTCGAAAAGCGTGGGGCTTTGAGACTTGACGTTCTCTTACTTAAGAATATAGCTGAACTAAGAAATTCATCCTTAAATTACGCCCCACGCTTTTAGAGTCATTGTGTTCTTGGACTTAATCACAATATTTTGAAAAAAATTATGTTACATTTCTAGATGTCACAAGAAAACTTTTAAAATCCTGATTCGCTAAAAGTGTGATCTTATTTTATTTTCAAGTTTTTGGTTTTTAATCTTTTTGATAAAAGCGTGTTTTTTAAAAAGTTTTTTTTAACATTTTTTTATTTGCTACTTTTTAGTCTCAATCTTTTAATCGAATTTCGACCACAACAATTCAAATTCAACTCCACTTCGTTGCACTTCGTTACGTTCAACTGTTTATAGATTACAGTAGGTTCATAGGTTACAGGTGTGTTGAACTCCACTTCGTTGCACTTCGTTACGTTCAACTGTTTATAGATTACAGTAGGTTTATAGGTTACAGGTGTGTTGAACTCCACTTCGTTTCACTTCGTTACGTTCAACTGTTTATAGATTACAGTAGGTTCATAGGTTACAGGTGTGTTGAACTTCACTTCGTTGCACTTCGTTACGTTCAACTGTTTATAGATTACAGTAGGTTCATAGGTTACAGGTGTGTTGAACTCCACTTCGTTGCACTTCGTTACGTTCAACTGTTTATAGATTACAGTAGGTTCATAGGTTACAGGTGTGTTGAACTTCACTTCGTTGCACTTTGTTACGTTCAACTGTTTATAGATTACAGTAGGTTCATAGGTTACAGGTGTGTTGAACTTCACTTCGTTGCACTTCGTTACGTTCAACTGTTTATAGATTACAGTAGGTTCATAGGTTACAGGTGTGTTGAACTTCACTTCGTTGCACTTCGTTACGTTCAACTGTTTATAGATTACAGTAGGTTCATAGGTTACAGGTGTGTTGAACTTCACTTCGTTGCACTTCGTTACGTTCAACTGTTTATAGATTACAGTAGGTTCATAGGTTACAGGTGTGTTGAACTCCACTTCGTTGCACTTCGTTACGTTCAACTGTTTATAGATTACAGTAGGTTCATAGGTTACAGGTGTGTTGAACTCCACTTCGTTGCACTTCGTTACGTTCAACTGTTTATAGATTACAGTAGGTTTAAAGGTTACAGGTGTGTTGAACTCCACTTCGTTGCACTTCGTTACGTTCAACTGTTTATAGATTACAGTAGGTTTATAGGTTACAGGTGTGTTGAACTCCACTTCGTTGCACTTCGTTACGTTCAACTGTTTATAGATTACAGTAGGTTTAAAGGTTACAGGTGTGTTGAACTCCACTTCGTTGCACTTCGTTACGTTCAACTGTTTATAGATTACAGTAGGTTTATAGGTTACAGGTGTGTTGAACTCCACTTCGTTGCACTTCGTTACGTTCAACTGTTTATAGATTACAGTAGGTTTAAAGGTTACAGGTGTGTTGAACTCCACTTCGTTGCACTTCGTTACGTTCAACTGTTTATAGATTACAGTAGGTTTATAGGTTACAGGTGTGTTGAACTCCACTTCGTTGCACTTCGTTACGTTCAACTGTTTATAGATTACAGTAGGTTTAAAGGTTACAGGTGTGTTGAACTCCACTTCGTTGCACTTCGTTACGTTCAACTGTTTATAGATTACAGTAGGTTTATAGGTTACAGGTGTGTTGAACTCCACTTCGTTGCACTTCGTTACGTTCAACTGTTTATAGATTACAGTAGGTTTATAGGTTACAGGTGTGTTGAACTCCACTTCGTTGCACTTCGTTACGTTCAACTGTTTATAGATTACAGTAGGTTTAAAGGTTACAGGTGTGTTGAACTCCACTTCGTTGCACTTCGTTACGTTCAACTGTTTATAGATTACAGTAGGTTTATAGGTTACAGGTGTGTTGAACTCCACTTCGTTGCACTTCGTTACGTTCAACTGTTTATAGATTACAGTAGGTTTATAGGTTACAGGTGTGTTGAACTCCACTTCGTTGCACTTCGTTACGTTCAACTGTTTATAGATTACAGTAGGTTCATAGGTTACAGGTGTGTTGAACTCCACTTCGTTGCACTCCGTTACGTTCAACTGTTTATAAATTACCAGTTTTCAAAATTTTTCATTCGTTTTATAAAATTTAATTTTTTCAAAGCATTCATTAGTAATGTACATTAAAAATCAATCGTAAAGATTTTGTGTTTATCTGTACCATTTCTACTTCATAACGTGTGGATTCTTAGCATAAAGATGCATCTCACATATGTAACGTATTTATAACGGATTTTTCAAATTTAAATTCAATGAATATCATTTATATGTTATGCAAAAATACGTCAAGCCGTTAATAAAAAGAAAAGTCAATTTAATTAAATTGGTGAAGTGTTATAAATAATGCAATACATTAAAAACAGCATAAATTTATGCTCAAACTATGTGTGCTAAATGTACATCGCATATTAATAGTTATTTTGTATTAATTCTATTAACTATACATCTTATTAACTAAAACGAAGAGAGAAGGTGACTTTTACAAAAGCAGGAGTAACGCAGAATTATATCAACTTTTCAATGAAGCTGATATCGTACGACGAATCAAAGTCAACAGACTCCGTTGGGCTGGACATGTCGTTAGGAGACCTGTTGAAGCTCCCATTAATAAAGTCTTTAAGAATGTTTTTGTAGATGGCAAAAGAACACGCGGGCGACCCAAGAACTCTTGGAAAGAAGCTGTTGACAGAGACAGTATTGCATTTGGTATGGTTAATTGGCAAACGGAAGCCAGCGACAGAGTCAGCTTCAGGCGCCATCTAAGGGAGGCCATGGATCACAATTGATCTGTACGGCCAGCGAAGTAAGTAAGTAAGTTGTATTAATTCGTAACGGATTTGTGCTTAACGGTTTTTTTGAAAATTTAAATTTTCACTTACGAAAATTCATGAAAAAATTACTTGTCAATTTTTTTGTCTTACCAGAATATCTTTAGCTGCTCAAATTTATAGTATAATTAATAATTAGTAATATTAATTAAACTATAATAAATCATATAAATGACTTTTGAGCATTTCAAGTATAATATTTTAAACAAATCAAAATTTTATATCATTGACATTGGATTTTTTTCCCATATAAAAAAGTTTTACTTAAATTGTACTATAATTAAGCCTTTTTGTGGTTCCAAAGTGTGAAAATATTGTATTGTCACCGGGAATACGTATGTAATAAAAATTTGAGCTCGATTGGAGCAATAGAAGTGGTCGAAAAATCGATTGCAAGATTTGAACGTGACAAAGAAACGAACAGAGCAACTCAATAAAAAGCGTGTAAAAATCGATATTTTTTTTGAAAATAGCCTACTATGATCGAAACCAAAAATGCTTTAAATTGCATTTTAAAACATATTTAGGCATTATAAATGATAAAGAATGCTAATATAGATATAAAATCGATATTTTTTTTGAAAATAGCCTACTATGATCGAAACCAAAAATGCTTTAAATTGCATTTAAAAACATATCTAGGCATTATAAATGATAAAGAATGCTAATATCGATATAAAATCGATATTTTTTTTGGAAAAAGCCTACTATGATCGAAACCAAAAATGCTTTAAATTGCATTTTAAAACATATCTAAGCATTATAAAAGATAAAGAATGCTAATATAGATATAAAATGGATATTTTTTTTTGAAAAAAGCCTACTATGATCGAAACCAGAAATGCTTTAAATTGCATTTTAAAACATATCTAGGCATTATAAATGATAAAGAATGCTAATATCGATTTAAAATCGATATTTTTTTTGGAAAAAGCCTACTATGATCGAAACCAAAAATGCTTTAAATTGCATTTTAAAACATATCTAAGCATTATAAAAGATAAAGAATGCTAATATAGATATAAAATGGATAATTTTTTTTGAAAAAAGCCTACTATGATCGAAACCAAAAATGCTTTAAATTGCATTTTAAAACATATCTAGGCATTATAAAAGATAAAGAATGCTAATATAGATATAAAATCGATATTTTTTTTGGAAAAAGCCTACTATGATCGAAACCAAAAATGCTTTAAATTGCATTTTAAAACATATCTAGGTATTATAAATGATAAAGAATGCTAATATAGATATAAAATTGATATTTTTTTTTTGAAAAAAGATTACTCTGATCGAAACCAAAAATGCTTTAAATTGCATTTTAAAACATATCTAGGCATTATAAATGATAAAGAATGCTAATAAAGATATAAAATCGATAATTTTTTTTGAAAATAGCCTACTATGATCGAAACCAAAAATGCTTTAAATTGCATTTTAAAACATATCTCGGCATTATAAATGATAAAGAATGCTAATATAGATATAAAATCGATAATTTTTTTTGAAAATAGCCTACTATGATCGAAACCGAAAATGCTTTAAATTGCATTTTAAAACATATCTAGGTATTATAAATGATAAAGATGATAAAGAATGCTAATATAGATACAAAATCGATAATTTTTTTTGAAAATAGCCTACTATGATCGAAACCAAAAATGCTTTAAATTGCATTTTAAAACATATCTAGGCATTATAAATGATAAAGAATGCTAATATAGATATAAAATCGATAATTTTTTTTGAAAATAGCCTACTATGATCGAAACCAAAAATGCTTTAATTTGCATTTTAAAACATATCTAGGAATTATAAATGATAAAGAATGCTAATATAGATATAAAATCGTTAATTTTTTTTGAAAATTGCCTACTATGATCGAAACCAAAAATGCCTTAAATTGCATTTTAAAACATATCTAGGTATTATAAATGATAAAGAATGCTAATATAGATATAAAATCGATAATTTTTTTTGAAAAAAGCCTACTATGATCGAAACCAAAAATGCTTTAAATTGCATTTTAAAACATATTTAGGCATTATAAATGATAAAGAATGCTAATATAGATATAAAATCGATAATTTTTTTTGAAAATAGCCTACTATGATCGAAACCAAAAATGCTTTAAATTGCATTTTAAAACATATCTAGGCATCATAAATGATAAAGAATGCTAATATAGATATAAAATCGATAATTTTTTTTGAAAAAAGCCTACTATGATCGAAACCAAAAATGCTTTAAATTGCATTTTAAAACATATCTAGGCATTATAAATTATAAAGAATGCTAATATAGATATAAAATCGATAACTTTTTTTGAAAATAGCCTACTATGATCGAAACCAAAAATGCTTTAAATTGCATTTTAAAACATATCTAGGCATTATAAATGATAAAGAATGCTAATATAGATATAAAATCGATAATTTTTTTTGAAAATAGCCTACTATGATCGAAACCAAAAATGCCTTAAATTGCATTTTAAAACATATCTAGGTATTATAAATAATAAAGAATGCTAATATAGATATAAAATCGATAACTTTTTTTGAAAATAGCCTACTATGATCGAAACCGAAAATGCTTTAAATTGCATTTTAAAACATATCTAGGCATTATAAATGATAAAGAATGCTAATATAGATATAAAATCGATAATTTTTTTTGAAAATAGCCTACTATGATCGAAACCAAAAATGCTTTAAATTGCATTTTAAAACATATCTAGGTATTATAAATGATAAAGAATGCTAATATCGATATAAAATCGATATTTTTTTTGGAAAAAGCCTACTATGATCGAAACCAAAAATGCTTTAAATTGCATTTTAAAACATATCTAAGCATTATAAAAGATAAAGAATGCTAATATAGATATAAAATGGATAATTTTTTTTGAAAAAAGCCTACTATGATCGAAACCAAAAATGCTTTAAATTGCATTTTAAAACATATCTAGACATTATAAATGATAAAGAATGCTAATATAGATTTAAAATCGATATTTTTTTTGGAAAAAGCCTACTATGATCGAAACCAAAAATGCTTTAAATTGCATTTTAAAACATATCTAAGCATTATAAAAGATAAAGAATGCTAATATAGATATAAAATGGATAATTTTTTTTGAAAAAAGCCTACTATGATCGAAACCAAAAATGCTTTAAATTGCATTTTAAAACATATCTAGACATTATAAATGATAAAGAATGCTAATATAGATTTAAAATCGATATTTTTTTTGGAAAAAGCCTACTATGATCGAAACCAAAAATGCTTTAAATTGCATTTTAAAACATATCTAAGCATTATAAAAGATAAAGAATGCTAATATAGATATAAAATGGATAATTTTTTTTGAAAAAAGCCAACTATGATCGAAACCAAAAATGCTTTAAATTGCATTTTAAAACATATCTAGGCATTATAAAAGATAAAGAATGCTAATATAGATATAAAATCGATATTTTTTTTGGAAAAAGCCTACTATGATCGAAACCAAAAATGCTTTAAATTGCATTTTAAAACATATCTAGGTATTATAAATGATAAAGAATGCTAATATAGATATAAAATTGATATTTTTTTTTTGAAAAAAGATTACTCTGATCGAAACCAAAAATGCTTTAAATTGCATTTTAAAACATATCTAGGCATTATAAAAGATAAAGAATGCTAATATAGATATAAAATCGATATTTTTTTTGGAAAAAGCCTACTATGATCGAAACCAAAAATGCTTTAAATTGCATTTTAAAACATATCTAAGCATTATAAAAGATAAAGAATGCTAATATAGATATAAAATGGATAATTTTTTTTGAAAAAAGCCTACTATGATCGAAACCAAAAATGCTTTAAATTGCATTTTAAAACATATCTAGGCATTATAAAAGATAAAGAATGCTAATATAGATATAAAATCGATATTTTTTTTGGAAAAAGCCTACTATGATCGAAACCAAAAATGCTTTAAATTGCATTTTAAAACATATCTAGACATTATAAATGATAAAGAATGCTAATATAGATTTAAAATCGATATTTTTTTTGGAAAAAGCCTACTATGATCGAAACCAAAAATGCTTTAAATTGCATTTTAAAACATATCTAAGCATTATAAAAGATAAAGAATGCTAATATAGATATAAAATGGATAATTTTTTTTGAAAATAGCCTACTATGATCGAAACCAAAAATGCTTTAAATTGCATTTTAAAACATATCTAGGCATTATAAATGATAAAGAATGCTAATATAGATATAAAATCGATAATTTTTTTTGAAAATAGCTTACTATGATCGAAACCAAAAATGCTTTAAATTGCATTTTAAAACATATCTAGGCATTATAAATGATAAAGAATGCTAATATAGATATAAAATCGATATTTTTTTTGAAAATAGCCTACTATGATCGAAACCAAAAATGCTTTAAATTGCATTTTAAAACATATCTAGGCATTATAAATGATAAAGAATGCTAATATAGATATAAAATCGTTAATTTTTTTTGAAAATAGCCTACTATGATCGAAACCAAAAATGCCTTAAATTGCATTTCAAAACATATCTAGGTATTATAAATGATAAAGAATGCTAATATAGATATAAAATCGATAAATTTTTTTGAAATTAGCCTACTATGATCGAAACCAAAAATGCTTTAAATTGCATTTTAAAACATATTTAGGCATTATAAATAATAAAGAATGCTAATATAGATATAAAATCGTTAATTTTTTTTCAAAATAGGCTACTATGATCGAAACCAAAAATGCTTTAAATTGCATTTTAAAACATATCTAGGTATTATAAATGATAAAGAATGCTAATATAGATATAAAATCGATAATTTTTTTTGAAAAAAGCCTACTATGATCAAAACCAAAAATGCTTTAAATTGCATTTTAAAACATATCTAGGTATTATAAATGATAAAGAATGCTAATATAGATATAAAATCGATATTTTTTTTGGAAAAAGCCTACTATGATCGAAACCAAAAATGCTTTAAATTGCATTTTAAAACATATCTAGGCATTATAAAAGATAAAGAATGCTAATATAGATATAAAATGGATAATTTTTTTTGAAAAAAGCCTACTATGATCGAAACCAAAAATGCTTTAAATTGCATTTTAAAACATATCTAGGCATTATAAATGATAAAGAATGCTAATATAGATATAAAATCGATAATTTTTTTGGAAAAAGCCTACTATGATCGAAACCAAAAATGCTTTAAATTGCATTTTAAAACATATCTAGGCATTATAAAAGATAAAGAATGCTAATATAGATATAAAATCGATAATTTTTTTTGAAAATAGCCTACTATGATCGATAGCAAAAATGCCTTAAATTACATTTTAAAACATATCTAGGTATTATAAATGATAAAGAATGCTAATATAGATATAAAATCGATAACTTTTTTTGAAAATAGCCTAATATGATCGAAATCAAAAATGCTTTAAATTGCATTTTATAACATATCTAGGCATTATAAATGATAAAGAATGCTAATATAGATATAAAATCGATAATTTTTTTTTTTGAAAATAGCCTACTATGATCGAAACCAAAAATGCTTTAAATTGCATTTTAAAACATATTTAGGCATTATAAATGATAAAGAATGCTAATATAGATATAAAATCGATAGTTTTTTTTGAAAATAGCCTACTATGATCGAAACCAAAAATGCTTTAAATTGCATTTTAAAACATATCTAGGCATTATAAATGATAAAGAATGCTAATATAGATATAAAATCGTTAATTTTTTTTGAAAATAGCCTACTATGATCGAAACCAAAAATGCTTTAAATTGCATTTTAAAACATATCTAGGCATTATAAATGATAAAGAATGCTAATATAGATATAAAAAAAACTTTTTAAAAAACACGCTTTTATCAAAAAGATTAAAAACCAAAAACTTGAAAATAAAATAAGATCACACTTTTAGCGAATCAGGATTTTAAAAGTTTTCTTGTGACATCTAGAAATGTAACATAATTTTTTTCAAAATATTGTGATTAAGTCCAAGAACACAATGACTCGAAAAGCGTGGGGCTTTGAGACTTGACGTTCTCTTACTTAAGAATATAGCTGAACTAAGAAATTCATCCTTAAATTACGCCCCACGCTTTTAGAGTCATTGTGTTCTTGGACTTAATCACAATATTTTGAAAAAAATTATGTTACATTTCTAGATGTCACAAGAAAACTTTTAAAATCCTGATTCGCTAAAAGTGTGATCTTATTTTATTTTCAAGTTTTTGGTTTTTAATCTTTTTGATAAAAGCGTGTTTTTTAAAAAGTTTTTTTTAACATTTTTTTATTTGCTACTTTTTAGTCTCAATCTTTTAATCGAATTTCGACCACAACAATTCAAATTCAACTCCACTTCGTTGCACTTCGTTACGTTCAACTGTTTATAGATTACAGTAGGTTCATAGGTTACAGGTGTGTTGAACTCCACTTCGTTGCACTTCGTTACGTTCAACTGTTTATAGATTACAGTAGGTTTATAGGTTACAGGTGTGTTGAACTCCACTTCGTTTCACTTCGTTACGTTCAACTGTTTATAGATTACAGTAGGTTCATAGGTTACAGGTGTGTTGAACTTCACTTCGTTGCACTTCGTTACGTTCAACTGTTTATAGATTACAGTAGGTTCATAGGTTACAGGTGTGTTGAACTCCACTTCGTTGCACTTCGTTACGTTCAACTGTTTATAGATTACAGTAGGTTCATAGGTTACAGGTGTGTTGAACTTCACTTCGTTGCACTTTGTTACGTTCAACTGTTTATAGATTACAGTAGGTTCATAGGTTACAGGTGTGTTGAACTTCACTTCGTTGCACTTCGTTACGTTCAACTGTTTATAGATTACAGTAGGTTCATAGGTTACAGGTGTGTTGAACTTCACTTCGTTGCACTTCGTTACGTTCAACTGTTTATAGATTACAGTAGGTTCATAGGTTACAGGTGTGTTGAACTTCACTTCGTTGCACTTCGTTACGTTCAACTGTTTATAGATTACAGTAGGTTCATAGGTTACAGGTGTGTTGAACTCCACTTCGTTGCACTTCGTTACGTTCAACTGTTTATAGATTACAGTAGGTTCATAGGTTACAGGTGTGTTGAACTCCACTTCGTTGCACTTCGTTACGTTCAACTGTTTATAGATTACAGTAGGTTTAAAGGTTACAGGTGTGTTGAACTCCACTTCGTTGCACTTCGTTACGTTCAACTGTTTATAGATTACAGTAGGTTTATAGGTTACAGGTGTGTTGAACTCCACTTCGTTGCACTTCGTTACGTTCAACTGTTTATAGATTACAGTAGGTTTAAAGGTTACAGGTGTGTTGAACTCCACTTCGTTGCACTTCGTTACGTTCAACTGTTTATAGATTACAGTAGGTTTATAGGTTACAGGTGTGTTGAACTCCACTTCGTTGCACTTCGTTACGTTCAACTGTTTATAGATTACAGTAGGTTTAAAGGTTACAGGTGTGTTGAACTCCACTTCGTTGCACTTCGTTACGTTCAACTGTTTATAGATTACAGTAGGTTTATAGGTTACAGGTGTGTTGAACTCCACTTCGTTGCACTTCGTTACGTTCAACTGTTTATAGATTACAGTAGGTTTAAAGGTTACAGGTGTGTTGAACTCCACTTCGTTGCACTTCGTTACGTTCAACTGTTTATAGATTACAGTAGGTTTATAGGTTACAGGTGTGTTGAACTCCACTTCGTTGCACTTCGTTACGTTCAACTGTTTATAGATTACAGTAGGTTTATAGGTTACAGGTGTGTTGAACTCCACTTCGTTGCACTTCGTTACGTTCAACTGTTTATAGATTACAGTAGGTTTAAAGGTTACAGGTGTGTTGAACTCCACTTCGTTGCACTTCGTTACGTTCAACTGTTTATAGATTACAGTAGGTTTATAGGTTACAGGTGTGTTGAACTCCACTTCGTTGCACTTCGTTACGTTCAACTGTTTATAGATTACAGTAGGTTTATAGGTTACAGGTGTGTTGAACTCCACTTCGTTGCACTTCGTTACGTTCAACTGTTTATAGATTACAGTAGGTTCATAGGTTACAGGTGTGTTGAACTCCACTTCGTTGCACTCCGTTACGTTCAACTGTTTATAAATTACCAGTTTTCAAAATTTTTCATTCGTTTTATAAAATTTAATTTTTTCAAAGCATTCATTAGTAATGTACATTAAAAATCAATCGTAAAGATTTTGTGTTTATCTGTACCATTTCTACTTCATAACGTGTGGATTCTTAGCATAAAGATGCATCTCACATATGTAACGTATTTATAACGGATTTTTCAAATTTAAATTCAATGAATATCATTTATATGTTATGCAAAAATACGTCAAGCCGTTAATAAAAAGAAAAGTCAATTTAATTAAATTGGTGAAGTGTTATAAATAATGCAATACATTAAAAACAGCATAAATTTATGCTCAAACTATGTGTGCTAAATGTACATCGCATATTAATAGTTATTTTGTATTAATTCTATTAACTATACATCTTATTAACTAAAACGAAGAGAGAAGGTGACTTTTACAAAAGCAGGAGTAACGCAGAATTATATCAGCTTTTCAATGAAGCTGATATCGTACGACGAATCAAAGTCAACAGACTCCGTTGGGCTGGACATGTCGTTAGGAGACCTGTTGAAGCTCCCATTAATAAAGTCTTTAAGAATGTTTTTGTAGATGGCAAAAGAACACGCGGGCGACCCAAGAACTCTTGGAAAGAAGCTGTTGACAGAGACAGTATTGCATTTGGTATGGTTAATTGGCAAACGGAAGCCAGCGACAGAGTCAGCTTCAGGCGCCATCTAAGGGAGGCCATGGATCACAATTGATCTGTACGGCCAGCGAAGTAAGTAAGTAAGTTGTATTAATTCGTAACGGATTTGTGCTTAACGGTTTTTTTGAAAATTTAAATTTTCACTTACGAAAATTCATGAAAAAATTACTTGTCAATTTTTTTGTCTTACCAGAATATCTTTAGCTGCTCAAATTTATAGTATAATTAATAATTAGTAATATTAATTAAACTATAATAAATCATATAAATGACTTTTGAGCATTTCAAGTATAATATTTTAAACAAATCAAAATTTTATATCATTGACATTGGATTTTTTTCCCATATAAAAAAGTTTTACTTAAATTGTACTATAATTAAGCCTTTTTGTGGTTCCAAAGTGTGAAAATATTGTATTGTCACCGGGAATACGTATGTAATAAAAATTTGAGCTCGATTGGAGCAATAGAAGTGGTCGAAAAATCGATTGCAAGATTTGAACGTGACAAAGAAACCAACAGAGCAACTCAATAAAAAGCGTGTAAAAATCGATATTTTTTTTGAAAATAGCCTACTATGATCGAAACCAAAAATGCTTTAAATTGCATTTTAAAACATATTTAGGCATTATAAATGATAAAGAATGCTAATATAGATATAAAATCGATATTTTTTTTGAAAATAGCCTACTATGATCGAAACCAAAAATGCTTTAAATTGCATTTAAAAACATATCTAGGCATTATAAATGATAAAGAATGCTAATATCGATATAAAATCGATATTTTTTTTGGAAAAAGCCTACTATGATCGAAACCAAAAATGCTTTAAATTGCATTTTAAAACATATCTAAGCATTATAAAAGATAAAGAATGCTAATATAGATATAAAATGGATATTTTTTTTTGAAAAAAGCCTACTATGATCGAAACCAAAAATGCTTTAAATTGCATTTTAAAACATATCTAGGCATTATAAATGATAAAGAATGCTAATATCGATTTAAAATCGATATTTTTTTTGGAAAAAGCCTACTATGATCGAAACCAAAAATGCTTTAAATTGCATTTTAAAACATATCTAAGCATTATAAAAGATAAAGAATGCTAATATAGATATAAAATGGATAATTTTTTTTGAAAAAAGCCTACTATGATCGAAACCAAAAATGCTTTAAATTGCATTTTAAAACATATCTAGGCATTATAAAAGATAAAGAATGCTAATATAGATATAAAATCGATATTTTTTTTGGAAAAAGCCTACTATGATCGAAACCAAAAATGCTTTAAATTGCATTTTAAAACATATCTAGGTATTATAAATGATAAAGAATGCTAATATAGATATAAAATTGATATTTTTTTTTTGAAAAAAGATTACTCTGATCGAAACCAAAAATGCTTTAAATTGCATTTTAAAACATATCTAGGCATTATAAATGATAAAGAATGCTAATAAAGATATAAAATCGATAATTTTTTTTGAAAATAGCCTACTATGATCGAAACCAAAAATGCTTTAAATTGCATTTTAAAACATATCTCGGCATTATAAATGATAAAGAATGCTAATATAGATATAAAATCGATAATTTTTTTTGAAAATAGCCTACTATGATCGAAACCGAAAATGCTTTAAATTGCATTTTAAAACATATCTAGGTATTATAAATGATAAAGAATGCTAATATAGATACAAAATCGATAATTTTTTTTGAAAATAGCCTACTATGATCGAAACCAAAAATGCTTTAAATTGCATTTTAAAACATATCTAGGCATTATAAATGATAAAGAATGCTAATATAGATATAAAATCGATAATTTTTTTTGAAAATAGCCTACTATGATCGAAACCAAAAATGCCTTAAATTGCATTTTAAAACATATCTAGGTATTATAAATGATAAAGAATGCTAATATAGATATAAAATCGATAACATTTTTTGAAAATAGCCTACTATGATCGAAACCAAAAATGCTTTAATTTGCATTTTAAAACATATCTAGGAATTATAAATGATAAAGAATGCTAATATAGATATAAAATCGTTAATTTTTTTTGAAAATTGCCTACTATGATCGAAACCAAAAATGCCTTAAATTGCATTTTAAAACATATCTAGGTATTATAAATGATAAAGAATGCTAATATAGATATAAAATCGATAATTTTTTTTGAAAAAAGCCTACTATGATCGAAACCAAAAATGCTTTAAATTGCATTTTAAAACATATTTAGGCATTATAAATGATAAAGAATGCTAATATAGATATAAAATCGATAATTTTTTTTGAAAATAGCCTACTATGATCGAAACCAAAAATGCTTTAAATTGCATTTTAAAACATATCTAGGCATCATAAATGATAAAGAATGCTAATATAGATATAAAATCGATAATTTTTTTTGAAAAAAGCCTACTATGATCGAAACCAAAAATGCTTTAAATTGCATTTTAAAACATATCTAGGCATTATAAATTATAAAGAATGCTAATATAGATATAAAATCGATAACTTTTTTTGAAAATAGCCTACTATGATCGAAACCAAAAATGCTTTAAATTGCATTTTAAAACATATCTAGGCATTATAAATGATAAAGAATGCTAATATAGATATAAAATCGATAATTTTTTTTGAAAATAGCCTACTATGATCGAAACCAAAAATGCCTTAAATTGCATTTTAAAACATATCTAGGTATTATAAATAATAAAGAATGCTAATATAGATAT